TTGAGTTTTGCTGTCACTGCATCCCATAGTACTGGGGGTTGGTTGGCTTTCAATTCAGAGACCATAACACGTCAATACGCTTCATTCTTATGCCGCATGCTTGACTATTATTCCTTTTGTGATTAAAAACAAAAGAAGCTGCGTATCATCTCTTCCTTACAGGCAAACTTTGACTTATTTAATCTACGTTTTAACTTTAACGCACAGTTTGCAAGAGATTTTCCTACCAGCTAAGATGGCATTACTTTGAGAAGTGAATGGTTCGCATGTGCCTGGAACAAAAACTGCCCCAGCAATTGAAATGATCGACGAAAACGGTCATCTGAAAAGTCCGGATGAACTTAAAAGCTGTAAGTCTAAAAATTGTGTGTGTTCCACGAGATGCTTAAAAAATATGCATTTGTGCAGGCGAAGCGCGAAACTGTTGTTTCATCGCGAAACACTTCGCTCTGTCAAAACAGCCGGTAAGCATTTGCTGAAAATGAAACTGCACCAAGTGCTGGTTTGTCTGAACAAACTCATAAAAACGGTTTGTAGATTCGAAAAATGGTTTTTCGTCGATGATACGTTATCCGCTATATGGTTTAATAAAAAATTTCTCTCATCTGTTCCAGGGCTGGAGCACTGCGGCTTCAAAAAGGATCGTCCCACTGTGTCGCTTTGCTTAAGGGGAATCCAAGCGTGTATGCTGAATCTAGCTATCGAAGACCTGTATCCCTCGCTGCATCCACGTGTTTACCACGGTTCGTGCCTTGAACTACAAGCCCGTGATCCAGGAAGAATATCGGAATAAATGATGATTACAGATCAATTTAAAATTTATAAATCATTGAAACTGTGCCCGTGACCACTTCAAATAAACCAAAACTGGAGGAACCACTGTTCATTGAATGTGGTTCCTCAGAATGAGTGCTTTGGAGGTCTGCTTCCTGCAAAACGCATCTGAAAAACCAGTTTGATTCCAAACCACAAATGCATCGTAGGTTTCATCTCAAATGCAGGTGTGACCAACCGTGCTGCGACTTCTTTAAGCAGTAATTGTTTGCTCAAATTAGCAGAGGCCGTGTGAATGAACAATGTGAATGCGAAATGGCGCAGTTCGACAGGTAGGCCCTCCTGTGATTGCATCTCTTAGTTATTTGAAATTTTGAGCAGCTAGGTTCATTCCGCTATCACAGACCAGGACAAAGGACGCGCAAGTTACGATGGACCGTTTTTCTTCGTTCATTTCATGTTGCTCTCCATACCCAATCATACAGCCCAAATTAGTCTTTTTTTTTTTTCGTATTAAGCATAACCTTTATACGTCACCACCAGTTAATCAAATCGGCTCTGGTTCACAACATTCAAACCTAGCTGGATAAAAAACAACGCAGTACTAGGGTTGCCAGA